CTGTTCATCTTTATCCTCAATAATACGGTTGTACAATTCTCTTTGAGCTTCGTCAATGGGCAGATTATTCAGCACTACTTCCTGAGCATAACCAACACCACGATCCACAATATTAATATAAACAGTCTCCTGCGAATTGATCAGGTCCAGCAACGACATTTCCAGCGCATCAGCAATCTCCTGCAATAACGCCATGTCTAACCGGGTGATCCCATTCTCAATATTGTGCCAGACGTTTTCGGAGCGGTGCATTTTATCTCCCATCTCCTTTTCGGTAAGTCCTAGCTGTACACGGCGTCTTTTGATGGCTGGTGCAATGGTATTCATATGGTTAGTAAATAAGGTTATCAAAAATACTTGATTCGCCTGCAAAATGCAATATTTAAATACATATGATCCTTTAAAGAGCAGTTGTCTGTAAGTATATCGGCTTTGCCTTTTTTCAACCAGGCAGGGTTTCAATCCGGCAACAGGTACTCCTCAGCCTAAACGTTCAGGCCTGGGCCTCCATGCCGTACTTTTCTATAGTGTCTGTCTTCTTTCTTCCTAAGCCGCTATTAATGTATGCGCTATAAAGCACAAACGGGACGACCTTAAGGTCGTCCCGGATATATATGCTGAACCAGGCAGTTGCCCGTTATTCTGCTATGAATAGCTTATGATATGCCGGATGTTCATTGCCTGTTTGTAAATAATAAGTGCCCGTGGAGATGCCGGTAATTTTCACCTTTGTAAGTTCATGCTCAATAGTGCCCGTCAGTACCGTTTGCCCGGCAATATTGATAAGCCGGTACGGCACACCCGTTACTGTTGATCGAATGAAAAAAGCACCCATAGCAGGGTTGGGGTATACCGCCGATTTGTTGGTCGCAACTGTTTGCTTAACGGCTGCAGGCGTTGCTGCCAGCTTAACGATCCATTGGTCCTCCGTACCAACAGTGCCATAGTGCCGGGTTACATCCCCGTGTGTGGAATCGGTAGTTCCAACCACCATATATCCGCCATCGGGAGTAACGGTCATACAGATAGCATG